TATATATATAGTACAGAGTCTCACTGCGCAGATCAGACTCATAGTGATCCTCCAATACTCAGCCTGCCAATTCTGGGATTACACATGTGCACTACCATGCCGTCTTGGTGGCCAGTTTAGCACACCTGGGGCAGGGCCGGCATGGCTGATGGTGCTGGGGATCAAACCCCCAGGCCTGTGCTTGCCTAAGCAGGCACTTAGCCCACTCAGCTATCTGTGCTTGGACCTTGGATTTTAGGGTGTCTTAGGGATGGATCTCTAAACTAGTACTCCTCTGGGTTATGGGACCAAGTCCTCTTTCCTAGGAACCCTATAAACACAGTTAGAGCCAAGGAGGGACCCATGGAGCTTTTTTGGGAGTTGTTCCCAGCCTGAAGTGTGACCACCTACAAACTTCACCCCTAAGCAGCAGTATAAAGAGCAAATACTTTATTTCTTTTTTTTTTTTGGGGGGGGGAGCATTACTAAGGATTGAACTCAGGACCTTGTACTTGCCAGGCAGGTGCTTAAGCCACTGAGCTATCTCCCTGGCCCAACAAACTCTTTCTAAACTACCCACCACACACTCAGAGTGCTAATGTGCTGTGGTTCTCCTGCAGGTCCTGGATTCGTGCCTGCTCGTGATGGTCACTTTTTTTTTTTTTTTTTTTTTTTCTGTTCCTGTCTGTGTGACTCACATTTAGCACCAGGATGTGCTCTGGCAAAGTTTTTGAGCCTTGTGTGTGTACTGATTATATGCATTTCATTTTTTGTTCTTTTATATTTATTTATATATTTTCTATTCACAGTTTGTAGAGATGCATTTTTGAAGATACATTTTAATATCAATCAATAAAATAAAGTGACCTTAATCTTTAGAGAATTAAAATCAATTACACCAGTAGGTTTTAAATAGAAAAGAGGGCTGGCCAAATAACTCAGCAGATTAAAGCTCCTGCAAGCAGGCGCAGGGCCAGGAGGACTTCCAGAGCTGCTTCAGAAAGTGGCAGCCATAATGGGAGAAGTGGACGGTATTCAGATAGAGTAGTAGCATTTTGAGATGGATTAATGTTAACGTGCTTTACTGTAATAATATTTTAAAATTTAAGCATACTTAAATATACTATACTATATCTTATATAATATTAAAATATATAGCATAAAAATATCTTTACATAGTATGGTATATTATATTTTTATCAAGCCATGAATTGTGTGTTGCTTAACATAATGCTTCTTCATTCTTTCTTTTCTGTGCTAACCTGACCTTTCTCAACTGACCATGGTATAGAATTAAAATCTAATCCCTGAAGAGTTGTTACATGATTCATGCTTTCTTTAAGACCGATGAGCCTAACAGTTTTTCTTTTTTATATAGCCAAAGTAAGTACTTTGTACTTCCCCGGGCTTACTATTGCATTTGACACCAACTTGACCCATAAGTTTAAAAATGTTTCACTCACCTCTCATGTGGAAGAATATATTCATAGTTTATATAGCCAGGTTGACTTTATTTTAGTTTTATTAATTTATTAATTAATTTATTTATTTTTATATTAGGGATCACACCTATGACCTTTGCATTAAGCTAAATTCCCACCCCTTGTTTATTTTTTATTTTCAGACAAATTCTGACTAAGTCACTAAATTGCCCCGGTTGGGCTCAAACGTGCAATCCTGCCTCAGCCTCCCAGAGTTCTGGATTCCCAGAATGCACCATGATACCCAGCCAGTCTGGCTTTAAGCTAATTGCCTATGTCTGTTTGGGGCACTTTAACAAACTTCTTTAGTCTGGGTAATTTATAAACAGTGGAAATCTGTTGCTCACAGTTGTGAAGGTGAGAAAACCCAAGATCAGGGTTCCAGCAGATTTGGTGTCTGGCGAAAGCTTGCTTTCTGCTCATGGAGAATGACATTTCTATGTCCCTCTCCATAAGGGGGCAGGAACTCCCTTCAGTGTCTTTCATAAGGGCATCAGTCTGATTCACAAGAGCAAAACTCTCATGATTGAATCACTTCTCCAAAGACCCCACCTCTTAATAACCACCCCGATGGGGATTAGATTTCAGTGTGAGCTTTTTGTTGTTGTTTCTTTTGTTTTTGAGACAGAGTCTTGCTGCAGAGTCCAGCCCGGCTTTGGATTTGCTGTGTAGCCCAAGCTGATCTCAAACTCATGACAATCCCCCTGCCTCAGCCTCCCAAGTGCTTGGATGACGGGTGTGCACCATCACACCCAGCTAATATGTTTTTGAGGAACACATTCAGACCCTAGCACCAAAGGTTCTCCTACCTGGTGATTAAGTAAAAATGTCTCCTATTCAGGAGGAAGTTCTCATACTTCTCTTATTCAAGCTTATCACTCGGTCCTGGAGAGTACAAAATTAGGAGTTAGTTCAACTGAGTAATGAACTTACTAGCTGCGTAAGTCTCACATCCAATGTCAAGTGAGTCATGTGGTGTAGACACTCTCTTGATTCTCCTGTACTCTGCATATGAAGTGAGTAAGACTCCCAGAGTGTTGTGGCCATTCACTGGAGTCAGTAAAAACCAAATAATGGCAACACTTACTGACCAAACACTTACTGAACTAATACCTAACATCACCATGCTAACTACCTTGCCTGAGACATCTTCTTTATTACTTTACTTAGGTGGGCACTTTGTAAATTTCCCCCCTTTTTATAGATAAAGAGGATGAGACTTCCAAGGGTCTCATAATGTACCCAAGACCATCCTTACAGTGACTACCCAACTCTAGCATGACAGATGGAAATGACAAACAAAGGCTCTGAACTCCCCTTAATGACCTTTTGCCTTTGAGCCATCTTCTCTGCAGAATCTACCATCCACCCTGGGGAGGCAAGTTGCTAAATAAGCAAAAATAGTGGCTAATATTGCAGTTTGAAGTCCTTGAAAGCTGTTATGGTTTGTGTCTAGTTGTCCTCCCAGAGCCTCATGCAGTCATGGGGCAGGGACTTCCAATTTGAGATTAACTCATGATCCACTGGGATTATGAGTTTTTAGTACTGCTGGTATTATGGGTGTGAGTACTTCCCCCAGCCTGGGGCAGAGAGCCTGAATGTAATATAAGAGAGACAGACAGACTTTTCTCTGTCATCATTGCTGCTGCTGCTCCTCCCTTGACTCCTCTTGCTCTTTTCCGCCACCATGAACTGATGCTTTCTGCCCTGTGCCGCTCTGCCTTGGAGCCAGCCAAGTACAGACTGAACCCTCCAGGAACTGTGAGCTGAATAAACCTTTCCTTTCTTCATTTTCAGTGTCGGGTATTTGGCCCAGCAATGAGAGAGGAGTAACTGAGACAAAAGTGATCATAAATTAAGCTATAAAAGTCTCTTTTAATTAGAAGAGTCCTTGTCACATGGTACATCTCAAGACCTTAAACTAGTCCTTCTTTCTTTCCTTCCTTCCCTTCCTCCCTCTCTTCTTTCTTCCTTCCTTTATTTCCCTCCCTTGATCCTTCGTTCCCTCCCTATGAGCTGTACCACCGAGTGACACCAACAGCCCCCAAGTCTTTGTATCTCACAACAAGAAGAATCCCTGGGGACTATCCCTTCCAATCCTTCAATTGAAAGATGAAATAAATGGGTGCCAGAAATTGCAAGCAACTTGCTGCAAGCTGCACTGCTCAGTGACAGCTGGGCCTGTCCTCAGCAGGCCTGGACTCTCAGTTCTGGAGTCTTAGTTTGTCACGGTGCTGTTTGCCTTTACCTGAATCATTCTGAAGTCCCAGATTTCTAAGTTTAAATTTATAAAATTAAAATACGTAAAAGTTTAAGACTTCTAAATATAGAAAACCAACTAGTACCACTTAGCCCAGTTTTTTTGCATTGGTTTCAGTATTTTGGCTTAGCAATCCTTTAATGTGAATTATAAGATGAGAACATTTTAGCTCTGCTTCCATAAAGTGCAATAACTGGTGCATTTGGACTGTGTTTCTGAAGATAATGGAAATGAATTTTTGAATTGAAAATTCCAACCTCAGTAATTTGCTGATTTGCTTTTTTCCATCTAGTCTGCATTACAGAATTATTCATGAGGCACTTTTATCGCTGCAGGAAGCTTGGCACCTGCCTGGACGTCTTCTAGATGGAGCTGACATCTCTGCTCTCTTCTCCAGGACTCTCTCTCTCTCTCTCTCTCTCTCTCTCTCTCTCTCTCTCTCTCTCTCTCTCTCTCTCTCTCTCTCTCTGGCGTGACGAGGGCCTAACCACACGTCTGTCTTTCTTCCATGCAGCATGGCACCACGCTCCTCATGGTCGCCTCCTACGCTGGCCACATAGACTGTGTGCGGGAGCTGGTTTTGCAGGGAGCCGACATCAACCTGCAGCGAGAGGTAAGTCAGGTTGTGCACGCAGAGAAACATGGCCAGGCTAAGACATGGGAAGTCCTTGCTGTGGACTAGCAAGGAGGACAAGAGCCATTGCTTTTGTCCTGAAAGCCCATTGCAGGGTTCATTCTGCCTAAAATAAACAGAATATCTGGGGTCCAGTACTTAATAAAAGAAAACAAGTGCATTTCACTCATAGTTTTGAAGGCTCCAAGCCTGCAATTGGGATGCCCCCTCTGTTGGTTGCATCAAAACATGGCAGAGAAACAGAAAGTGAAACCGAATGGCCACATGCAGAGGAGACTGAGCATAGGGGCTGACCGTGCCGGACAACAGCCCACTCTCCTGAGAACTGGTTCATTCCATGGGACCAGCATTGGTCCCTTCCAAGGCAGTGCTCACCAGCAACTCCCTCTCACTGGACCCCCCACCTCTGAGCAGTTCTGCCACCTCCATATCACCACACGGGGGCCCAAGCTTGCAGCATGTGAGCCTTTTCAGGGCACATTCAGACTGTATCAGCAACCAAGCCACTTACTACATTTCTTAAACACTCGTGCATTTTGCCACAGCTGTAAATCAGTTCTTTCTTCCCTTGGGATGTGGTGCTATGGAGCTGAGAGGATTTTCCTGGAGATCATTACATGTTTGTTTAGCCACCAGCCTATTCACAATGAAGCTCACTTGCTAGGACACTGCAATCATCCTCAGCACCTCATGTTTTCAGAGGACTTCTCTACCTGGCCATGTACTAAATAAGGCATCCCAAAAAGGCCACATGGGTAAACATCGGGCTGAAACGTGAGCTGTGCCCACACTTCATATTCAGAGTCTGATCTCAGCAGGAGACTGAGCATAGGGGCTGACCTTGCTGGTCATTTCATTTCGGTCATTTTCATTTTCCATTCTTGGTCCACTCCTGAGAACCATTAGAGAGGCCAGTGTGCTTTAGTGTGCTTCAGGGTTCAGGTCTGAGAAGGCTCCATGGACTTCTGGGCTAACCTACGAAGGGAAGCCAGCCCTTTTGGACACCTGCTCTGGTCATCTCAAGAGTGGATGTGCCCTCTCAGTCCCCAAAGGCACAGCCCTGAGATGGGTATCCTGGGCACACTTTAAATGAGACTGGGAACTTGATTTTTCATGTTCCGGCCTTATCCCAGGGTCTGTCTTGCAGCCAGTGTTTCAGAGAGGTCATTCATTAGCCAGTCTGTCACACAGCCAATATATGCCCCTAGCCTGCCCCACTGTTACCAGTTGAAGCTTCTTTCTGAGTTCTTGGTATCCGAAAAAAAGAATTGGGTAAGACGCGGAAAAGAAGTGTTCTCTGCAGTGAGAGCCAGCCCACGCAAAGGCTCACAGCAGCCAAGGACAGGAGAAAGGGGTCTTTTCTACCCTGAATTCCCAGGTTAGCTCTCCTTTACGCAAATCAGGCATTGGGAAAATCATCCTATCAAACACTCACTTGGCATGACGCCGTGCATGAGCTGTTTCATTAAAAACTGCTGTGACTTCCTACTACGTATAAGTAAAGGATCAGAAGTAGTGTCTTTTGCTTGGGTTGGCCCCACAGCCAAATGAAGGAGTGAAAAGATTGTCTTCAAATTGGTCCCATGAACAGCACCACATTCAAATGAAAGATTGAAAACATAGTTTCTCCTTGGTCCAAAATAGCGCTGTTAGGATTGGTTCTGCGTCCAGTGACCTGCGCACAATAATGAGGGTGTCACTCTATCAGGGCTGTCCCTTCTCCTGGGAGTGTTCCTCACCCTGCTGCCCCTTTTTACCACCACACCTCAGTGGAGCGAGTGAAGACACAGTAGGTCTAAGGGCTGTGTCAGGAGTTCCTCCTCTCAGTCTGGGTGATGGAGGTGTTGGCTGGGAACCAGGGAAGAGTGACACTTGCCTAGAAGAATCTGGGGTCTGAGTCCTTTCAGGCCTCTTTCAGAAAGGCTGATTTGTTTAAAGGAGCAGGATAAGACTGTAGTGAAATTAACCTTCTAGCAGATTCATTTGCACAATTTGTTGTAACACTAAATCATTTTTTTAGGTCATTTTCATTTAAGCAATTTCCTTCTGGAAGGAAAAGAATCTTTGAACATGTTTAGAATTATAGCTTAAAATTACCCTCACCTTTTTATTTTTCCTCTGCTTGCTAGTCCTCACGTATCATAGCTTTAAAGCAAAGACAGATTTGCTCTAATAAAAACAATATGGTGCGGATCTGCGTACTCAAAAACATTATCCCAAAGAGCAGCGCCAGCATACACAAAAACTGCCTTGGAACAACTGAAAAGATTGGGAAGAAAAAGAAGCATTTGATTTCTAGCTGGCATATGGTTTTTATTATTTTTTTAATGTGTTTAGTACAGAGCCTACAGGGTCTCACTACACAGCTTGGACTCGTAGTGATGCTCCTGTTTTCAGCCTCCCAAGCGCTGGGATTACAGGCTTGTGCCACCATGCCCAGTCTCAGTTGCCATCTCAGTGCACAGCAGGGGCAGGGCCAGTACAGCCCACAGGGTGGTGTATGGTTTTTATGGTTTGTATTTATCTGTTCAATTGCAATGGCTCAACTGATGTTGGAGATGAAAACTCTGCACTGGGAACGATGGCCCTTGAACACTCAACAGTGTGTGCTCTGTGGAGGTTTAAACAGTGGTGCTAAGTTTTCAGCAGTCTCTTGAATTTCTGGAGACCCTGCCCATCCAGGGCCATAAGAAACCCAAGGGAGACCAACCTCACGTGCCCGTTTTGGCAGCTGAACAGGAGCACTTTGCTGAGCTTTAATGCACACTCTTAAAGAAGAGGTCCAGTTGCTAAACCATTTTGAAGTATCAAAATATTTGTTTCCTGAAAACGTCCCTGTCCTTGCTTGCTTGACTTAGCTATCTAGGTACACCGAGCTTGCTAGTGAAGCAAACTTTTTAGTGGCTAAAAATCCTGAAAGACTGTCGCCATAAAAAACCAGCAACAGGGGTGTCTTAGGTTTGTTTTTGTTTTTGTTTTTGTTTTTTGGTGCTGACACAAAATACCTGACACCCAAAGTTAAAGGAGAAAAGGTTTATCTAGCTCACAGTTAATAGAGGTTTCACTCCACGGCTGGCTCCAGGACAGGGTGGCACGTGACAAAGAGGCATCATAGAGGAGAAAAACAATTTATTGCTGGCAAGACAGAAGTAGGAACAAGGGACCTTAACAGCGTCTTTGTGCCCCTTTCATTGTACCCAGACTACTCAGGGAAGGCAGCACTCACACCCTTCATCCTAGTGCCCTTGAGTCTGGCATTGCACCCACCTCACTCAGGTAAGGACCTTAGTCATTGGATTTAGGCCCCACCCAAGCACCCAGAGATAAACTCCTCAAAATCCTGAGGTTCACCCAGGAATAATTAAGGCCTCACCCTTGGAGGCACCACCGTTCTTCCTACTTCACCAAGAACAAGATTTTCCTTTCACCTTGTCACTTTGCTGCCCAAGGAACTGAATCAGTTCAGACGCAGCTCCTCCCTGGGCTAGAAGCTTAGGTAGAGACACTGTTTCTAGATTCTTTGCAAATGTATAAATCACGTGCCCTTGAGCTGAATGTCTTAGAGCCAGCCTCTCTGTCTCCTGCAGTCAGGTACCACCGCCCTGTTCTTTGCTGCCCAGCAAGGCCATAATGACGTTGTGAGATTTCTCTTTGGATTTGGAGCATCCACTGAATGTAGGACCAAGGTAAGAGAACCTGCTTGACTTTATACCCTGTTGGGAACGTTTTAGCAGCCACGGCCACCCATTGTTCTCCGTTGTGCCTTGTGGTACAAAGTTATGTCTCCCCTTTTACAAGATTCTCAAACCCAAGGAAGTACATCTCACGGGGCTTCCTGGGATGCTTCAGGAGAGCCCTCGGGATTCCATTCCAAACACTACATTTTGTTTTGAACACAAAACTAGAGAATATCATGGGCAATTTCTTAGACTCTGTCTTGCACTGGTTGCTTTCTGCAACAGGACACTAAGTTTTACAAGTAAGAAGGGCAGAGTGGCGGGTGACTCTCTGACTTCCGCTATTCTCAGGTGCTTTATTCTACTTGAAGACAAATCCCAATACATTCATAAGAATTGTTAGAAGTGTCGATCTGATCCTGGGAATGCAAGAGTTTCTAGAGATGGTGGTTTGGCAGATAGCTTGTTTTCACGAGATACCCTCAGTGAAAGATACAATACATAATTACAGTTTGTATAGTTGGACAGGTATTGTGATTCTTTCTTTAAGGAAGTTATTGATTTTCTTTCGTGTTCTTTTTGTGGTGCTGAGGGCTGCACTCAGGGCCTCATGCATGCCAGGCAAGCACTCCAGCGCTGAGCAACATCCGCAGCTCTTTTTCTTTTTCTTTTTTTTTTTTTTTTCCTGGCCAAATTGCTTCAGCCTCCTGAGTAACTAGAATTACAGCCTTGGACCACCATTCCCATTTTTCACTTTTGACATATAGAGAAGAATACCGAGACTGCATAGAGATTGACTTTGTGTTCATAATGATTTTACATGATACTTGTTTGTTTTTTGTGGTGACAGGGATAAAACTCTGGACCTTGTGCTTGCCAGGCAAGCGCTTATGCAGCTGAGCTATCTCCCTGGCCTTACACAATGTTTGGAGTAGGAGAAGGTTAAATGCCCCAAGAGTTTCATAATCATTAGGTCATTTTTTAATTTTTAGGTCATTTCCTAAAAGTTTTTCAAGTTGGAAACTTCTAAGTTTTCTTATCCACTGTCTGTGATACTTAGATATCAAGGGACTTTCCGGTAAGCTTTTTTTTCTGTTCAAATATTATTAAGTAAATCTGAGTTTTATACAGGTTTTCTATCTTTTTTTTCTAAACCTTGCTGTTGGATAGTGTACAGTATCCAAATATAGACTAACATACAGTAATACAAAATATATTTTATTTTAAAATATTATTTCATAAAACTGATGCATGTAAAAATAGAAAATTTCACAAACCTTAATCTTAACTCTCTGAAGTATCAACCCAATCTATGTTACCATACAGCTGCTTTTGATTTCTGACTTAACAAGTTCATAGTGGCTTAGAGCCTTTGAGTCAGAGTCAGTTTTTCCATGCTGGAAACCCGCAGAATATAGGGCCTGGGATGAGCAAGGCCACACGTTCCCCTTAGGTCTGCGGCAGGGACTGAGGAGCTTTCCATGGGCAAGAAGAGAGTATTGAGAGGCCATGGGTTTTAAGATTATCCCTCATCAAAATGCATTTTGTTTCACGGTTCCTCTCTTTATGATTAAGTCTATAAAACTTATAATCTGAAAGCCTTCTATCTTAATTATGTTTAGATTCTCTTGCCTCTTTAGGTGAAGAGCTAGCAAAATTGATAGGACAAAGCTCAGAACCAGTGGTACTGGTGCTGCTCCTAAACAGCTGCTTGCTGCCCCCACCAGCCTCAGCCTTCCGCCCATCTCCTCTGCTTAGCCTGCTCTTCAAGGCCCAGCTCAACACCTTGCCCCGCTGCTGGCCCGTTCCTTGCCGAGGCTTTCTCCAGCTCTTTGTCACCCAGGATGTGGCCTGGCTATTGTTAAATCTCATGAGGGTAGGACTTTATCGAGGGTTCAAAAAAAACCTGTATCAATAAAAGAATTAGAGATGAAAGTTCAAAAGGAAAAACAAAATCCCTTTTTTTGAAATGGAGAAAGAAAATCACTGTACTGGAAAAAAGAGAGAAGTAAGGCAATAGATAGCTACCTTGGAGTAAGGCGGGGCATCTGGAGCCTGAACTGAGTGGGTAGGGGTGGTGGGGGTCTTTGTTCTTAGCCCCTTTTATTATATAGTGAGCAAGGGACTATCCTTGGGAGTTGTTGTAACTTGGTTGGCTATTTTGAGATCTTAAGCCCCTGGTTTGGCCATGCCACTTCTACCATCTACATATAGATTTTTGGTCCCTTGTCCTGTCCAGGGGCTCCTCTTATGAGATTTACCACAGGGCCAGTGAGATAGCACTCCGGGCTAAGTGCCTGCTTAGGCCATTGAGTAAGGGCATGGTGGCGCACACCTGCAATCCCAGCACTGGGGAGGCTGAAAACAGGATCATCACAAGTCTGAGCTGCATAGTGAGACCCTATATAAAAAAAGAGAGAGAGAGATTTACCACAGAGCCCTACATTTAAGGACAAATTAGCAAAAGGAGATACGTGTACATTTTAGTGTATTAATCTCATGAGAAAATAACAAAATATGTATGTACTTATATACAGGTATGTGAGTGTGTAGGTGTTAGGATATATTTTGTATATTGATTAATAATATTGATTAATAATGCAGCCCCCCTTTCTCTCCTGTGTTTCATTTTATGCTTAATCAGAGGTGCAAGGAGGGGTAAAGGAGCCTTGGCAAGGGAGAGCCAGGCCTTCTCAGTGCGCCTTTGCTTTTCCTGGCTACTGTCACTAGCATGGGTTTAACTCTTTGTTTGCCAGAGCCCTCCCCGAGGCGCTCTCACTTTGCCTGCCTGTCCCCTACCTTTCCCTACACTATGTACACAAGGGCTTATACAGTAGAGTTTTCACTAGTGAGGCCCCCCTGCACCTGCGTACTACAGTACCCACATGACTGGTCAAAAGGCAGAATTCTTGAGCTCGTTCCATAGCTCCTGAATCAGACCAAAGGTAGAGCTCACTTTGAACAAAAACATTATTTCCGATTTTAGAAACCACACTGTCACATTTATGATGTTATTTTCAGCCAGATTTATCTTGAATTATTTATAATTAAACATCTGAAGAACCAAACAGCTCAACCATCTTACATGGGGAAGATAATGCCCTGTAGTCCCTGAGAAAGACCATTAACCCATGTATGTCAAAGAAGTCAAGGAACAACAATTCTAAGAAAAAATTTAGCACAAATTTGTATCCAAAAGTTGAGCACTAGGTCTAAGAGAATCAATGGTTTTCATTGACCACAACATCAGTGAGCTGATAGTGTGATGTGGTTGGCTTAGGAGATTATTCTTAGGCTGCAGAATAAAAGTAGAGTGGATGGGAGTGAGAGAGAGTCCACACCGCATCGCAGCACAGCACTTTACAATGCACTACTTAATTTTAGGGCCCAAACTTGAAGAGAAACCTGGGCAAATTGACACATGCTCAGAGATCAAGAGGTTGGGCGGGCAGAGGCGCATGGATGTGCTGTCACTGCCTGCTATCTCCTACGGAAGCAGTGGCTCTAGTGTTACCCGTAGAAGCAACTTAAACTCAGCAATTTATAACTCGTTGGCTCTCAGGGGAAGGAGCCAGTGTTTGGCCAGAGGGTGTCTGGCCAGAAGCCATGGGGGAAGCCAAGCAGCAACTGATAGGACTTGGTACAGACTTTCTGTTTTATGTGTCCCTTGAGAGGCGAATGGATGATTTACATTTGTTATGAGAAATTTCTGAATTAATCACAATAACTGGGTGAAATAACTGCAATGTATCTACAGTGAGTCACCCAAGTATAAAATGTAATCATGGTCTTAAAAATGAACCCTGCTCTGGAAGCCAGGAATGGTGGCACACATCTATAATCCCAGCACTTGGGAGGCTAAGGCGGGAGGACTGATACACGTTCAAGACCACCCTGCCATCCTAGTGAGTTCAAGGCCAACCTGAACTACGTAGTAAGACCTTATCTCAAAATGAAAAGAAAAACACATGCTATAATTATAAAGTAAAATGGATAAAAGGAAGAAAGTAGTTTGTTGTTACCTATGGAAGAGTTCTCTTCCAAACTCTCTCTGTGAAGAGCATCTGCTTGGAAAACATGTGCCTGCGCTGCCTCCAACACATCTATACTTTCATGTCCACAGGATGGGGGCACTGCCCTGCTGGCTGCCAGTCAGTACGGGCACAGGCAGGTGGTGGAGACCTTGCTGAAGCATGGAGCCAACATCCATGACCAACTTTACGTGAGTGTGTTCTACGGGGACATTACACTCAGGGGCTGGAAATGCCAACTGGAAAAGTATGCTAATGAACAGTGGGGCTGTAATCTCAGACACCCAGGAGACAAGACCTAGTGCACATGACAGGCTTTCTCCATAAAGAAACCACGGAGCATTTGCCCGTTCTTGTTGGCCCTTTCTGTTGTGCACCTGAGACAGCTCAAGGAGCGATACAATTAAGGTCTTCAAAAATCTTATGGTAAATATTTATGCATGCCTTGACAGGCCACACAGCCCAGGGTATGGGCTTGCTTACAACAAGTGTACTGTCCTGTTGCAAAATTACTTGTGAGGAAGAGCACAAAGAGGAAAAATCAGTGTATTTGAAAGATGTGAGGTAGACCAGAAGACTGAAATGCATGCACACTATCATGTAGATTTTTGAGAGGCTTCCAATGCTAATATGGGTCTATTTGCAGCTAATTGGCAATTAGCATGTCACCCAGGGGCTCTTTTGTCACTGTAATTCCATGGGATTTATGGCAAATAGTATTCCAGTTTATAGGAAAAAAAAACTTAAATGGAGAGAAAAACTAACTTGACAAAGTTTCATGGAAAGAAGGGGAAGAATTTCTACTTCTAATTATCTAGGAACACGTGTTAGGCTATCCTATAACTAGACATTTAGCCCTATGCCTAGGGCACTGTGCTTTCATAGCCAGTAATGAGCTGTGTAGGAGTGAGCTTTCCATTTAAGCGCCCTTTCCAGAGTTTCCCTAGTTAGCTCTGACAAATCACAGGCTCTTTGAAGTGCATAGCAACTCACCTTAGCCCCTGAACTGCAGAATCCATAGCCTGTTTGAGTCTGCAGCAATACTTGGTAATGATCTCAAGGAGTGAGTCTCAACTCTGACTACCTTTTAGTAGTACCTTGGAAACTTCAAAGAAATGGAGATTTCCAGGCAACCAAGCTGAAATCTCTACAGTCACAACTTGAGCAACAGGTGATTCTGAGACGTGGCCAAGCCTAAGAAATGTAAGTCAAGCTTTGGCTATTTCTTAGGTAAAGTATACGTGAGGGTATACACTAGTGTATATTTGTGTAGCTTGAATAGGAAAGTCAAAGTCTTTGGAAAAGCAAGGTTAGTTATGATTTTTATGCCGTGGCTGTGAATAAATAGCAATCCACATAAAGTGTGGGTGTGAAATCCTTGCTCATAATATTGTCTGACTCTTGGGCTGACAGCTAATCTTAGAAATATAAAATTTGGAGGAAGCCCCTCCCTATCATAAATTCCTCTCCTTTATAAGGTGATTCAAGAAATTCCATGTGCTATAACTTCTATTTTACTTTAAGACACTTACCCTTACCCAAGTAGGTAAAATATTTCTGTTAAAATCAGTTGTGGGGGGCTGGTGAGATGGCTCAGTGGTCTAAAGCACCTACTTAGAACAAGCTCAGAAAAGCACAGGGACCACGGTTCAATCCCCCAGCACCACATGCCAGCCAGCCCCGCCCCCTGGTGGGCTGAGCTGGCCACACACACACACACACAAAATAAATAAATAAATAAATTAAAAAAAAAAGAAATTAAATAAAGAAAATTAATTTATAAAAAAAAAAAATCAGTTGTGGGCCAGGAAGATAGCTCAGCGGCATAAGCACCTGCCTGGCAAGTGCAAGATCCTGAGTTCAAGCCACAGTACCCCCCCCAAAAAAAATGAAATATGGAGGAAAGGTGAGGGCAGGGGTCAAAGATTCCCAAACACTTTTAGGAATTGAAATGTACAATGCAATAAAAAAAATGCAAAGGTAGTCTATTTCTGGAAAATTCCTCTGAGTTAGCAGCTGCCAAGGGCATGCTAAACTTTAGGGTAACATACTGAGGAGTAAGTGGAAGTCTTACCCTCGTATCAAGCATCTGCCTAAGAGTCCCCACAGGCTGATTAAGATTTGTTTCTCGCTTCCTTGGCGGCAGCCTGGCAGTACATCCGGCGCCCGCTGCCTCCACCTGCGGGCCTGCTTGGATGTGCAGGGAAAGGTGTTTCACTTGTGGCTGCTGTTCCCCAGGGGGGGTCCAGTAGTTAGTGGATGTTCTCCCCTGGATGGTGTGGGGCTTTCCTACCAGAGTCTAGAAACAGCGGTGCTTGCTTCTGACAAAGTGAGCATCTGGGAGAATGAATGCCCTCAGCTGAAATCACCAAATGACATTTTTGCAAGGAAAAAATGCTCAGAAGACGTAGACCCCATTAAAAAAGAAAACTCAAGACAACTAGAGCCCTTCTTTGGCTTCATGTAGGATTGCCCTGTGCTGTTTACAGGTGTGGCTGGTGGCTGAAGAGAGAGATGTCCTGGAGACTCTTCCTAGGGCAGTTTTTCTAATTATATCATGCCACTTTTTTTCTATTTGTAGTTGTGCGTGTGTGCGCGCACACGTGCAGTCTTTTGGATTGAACTCAGATGGTACATGTTAGGCACGTGCTCTACCTCTGAGCTATCCCCTAGCCCATCGTACCTTTTGCTGTTTGACAGCACTGCACACTGGGAGATGTGGATACAAGAGCATGAAAAACAAGGGGGAGAAGATTGAAGTGAAAGGACACTGTCACTCCTACCTCATAAAAACACAAAATAGGTTTGAAGAATTTTGTTTTAATGTCTAAACTTAACTCTCCATTGACAGAAGGATAAAGACCTAAGAGGGGGTGGAAATGGAAAATCATATTAGAATCTACGTTTTTAATTTCTTTTAAAACAAATATACGTAAAAAAATAAAATAAATATACATGATTTTTGAACATTTAATTTGTTCCCTCCCAGGATGGAGCCACTGCCCTTTTTCTAGCTGCCCAAGGAGGTTACTTGGATGTCATCCGGTTATTGTTGTCGTCAGGAGCAAAAGTCAACCAGCCAAGGCAGGTAATGTACACTGGCGAACCCTGCCCAAGAAGGGAAGCATGCGGCTGGGCGGGCTGGGGGCCTCTAGCTGCCACATACCTAAGATAACTGGCAGCTCCAGCATCCTCGAACCCTTTTGCCTCCGCCAGGAAAAGTTAATCTTTGAAAGGTTTGACTTGTTCTGTGCTTTGGAGTCACCAGAGAGGCCACGAATGCAAGCTGGCATCACGCTGTTCAGTCTTGAGTGTTTGGTGTCTGAGGTCAAGTGCACATTCTGCCACCTCCTGTTCAAATAAATTATGGCTGCACTGAAGTAATGAGTCTGGCAAGCCCGGGACAGAGGTAAACAGAAGCAAGTCCCTGGCCAGGCCGCGGCTGATCTGCCGCCTTATCTCCTCTGCCACCAAACCACACAGGAGCCCGCGCCCTTGGCATCATGAGTGTGTTCTGCACCTTGAGCTCAATGTGAGAGCCCTGACTTCAACCCACAGTACAGCTCAGGGGGACAGAGGGAGAGAGGGCCATTGCACGGTAGGCTTGCGCTCAGGGGTCGGGAGTTCTAGATCCAGCTTTATCAGTAACCTGCTGTATGGTTTTGAACAGGAAGTCAGTCTCGCTTGGACTTTATCTGAGAATGAAGAGGCTGGGCAGGATGAGCCTGACACTTTCTTCAAGCTCTCACCGTTTTGGAAATTGTTTTATTCAATGTTCAATCAGTATTTTCTGAGCATTTCTCATGTGTCACGCACTGCTGTGACTATAAGACCGTGTTACTAGGGGCCAAGGAGAGAGCTCAGTAGGATAAGCACCTGCCTGAGCACTTATTACAAGCACAGGTCCTGAGTTCAATCTCCAATACTGAAAAAAAAAAAAAAGACTATGTTCCTAAGATTTGAGAGGTCTTTTTAGTTTTATATGGCCTCAAAACTCTTGGAATAGGGCTGGTGAAATGGCTCAGTGGTCTAAAGCACTTACTTAGAACAAGCTTAGTCAAAGCACAGGGACCGCGGTTCAATCCCCCAGGACCACATGCCAGCCAGCCCCGCCCCCAGGCGGGCTGAGCTGGCCACACACACACACACACACACACACACACAAATAAAATAAATAAATCAAAAAAAAAAAAAAACTCTTGGAATAGGAAGAAGTGTAGGAAAAGTTGCACCATCAGACCTGCGAAAGCTGACATTTAAGGATAGGAGTTTAGTATGCTCTTGTCAGTCCTTATTTTGAAATTATTAATTATGAATTAGAGACTTCATTTTATAAAAAATTAACTAAAGGAATTGGCTGCTTACAAATTTTATTTTGAGGCCATATCAAATGTAATACTATAAACTTAGATATGAGATATAATCGAGATGACTGGCACTTTGACCAATCTATTTGTAAAACATTGTATTTTCATATGCTTAAGGTATTATTTGCGCGCGCGCACACACACACACACACACACACACACACACACACACTTCAGGCACAGTGGGGCATGCCTACAATTCCGGCTGCTCGGGAGGCTGAGGAGGGCCTTGCAAGTTTTGAGTCCAGCCTGGGTGACTTAGCAAGACTGTGTCTCAGCATGAAAGTTCAGGGACAAAGCTCAGTGGTGGTGCAGCTTCTTAGTATGAGTGAGGCTGTGGGCCAAATCCCGAGAATAAAACTGCGTGGCAGTGGTCAGCATGGCACATTACAACTGTGCGCATTCGTTAGGGTGAGGACCAGTGGTTAAGATGACCCGGTTAGGGACCGAGGGCCGACAGTGGCTTTCTTTCTCCCTCAGCCTGGGGATAGAGCCGAGGGCCTTTGCACTGAGCCGTAGCTCATGCCTCAACCTTTTTCTTTTTTAGACCAGTTCTCACTAAATGGCCACACTGGGCTGTCACCTGTGATCGTCCTGCTCCCTTCTCCTAGAGTGCCAGGCTTTCGGGCATGCACCACCACGCCTGTTTAATGTGGTTTTTGAATCTTAAGCATCCAGCTCTAAAAAGAATGCTATTCAGGGAAAACGTTCTTTTATAAAATAAGGTTGCAGGCTGGAAGTGAGGAATGGGATCTGTCCTTTGCACAGGTGGCATTCATACAACGGTGCACTCAAGTCATAAACCATGTACTGCCTGCCTTGAGTTTATAATGAGAAGCTGCTACCTGCCCTGGTCACTCCACTTCAAGTCCTGCCTTCTCTAAAAGTATAACCTCTCTTCATTCTGCACAGAGAAAACAAATACTATAAATATATAAAAATACAAATAATGACAAAAATATTATCATTTTGTCTGATTTGGTTCTAAGTTATAAGGAGATTTAAAAAAAAAAAAGGGGCCAGGGAGATGGCTCAGTAGAATAGGCACTTCCCTGGCAAGTGCAAGGGCCTGAGTTCAATCCCCGGAATCACAAAAAAACAAAAAAACAAAAAACCACACCCCCTACCCTGCCCACTGAGTGAGAATTTCTGCCATGTTTTGAGGACCTCCAGATCCAGTCCTAGCCCAGGCCCCAGTGGCTGTGTGGGAGATCGTCTGGCTACCCTGTGCCGGCAGGATCTGCCGGTCCCAGCCCAGGTACAGCATGGGTGAGACCCTCTTCCACCCCCTTGGGACCCCACCACCACTCCGCAGCACCCCACCCCCACCCTGCCCACACAGTGAGAATTTCTGCCACATTCTGGGGACCCTCAGATCCAGTCCTAGTCCAGGCCTGGTGAGTGTGTGGGAGAGCTGCCTCTCCCCGCTACTCCACCTTGTCCCTCCAGACTCAACTCAGGCCTGGCATACAGGCCTGAGGTGAAACCCTACAGCTGCAATCCCTGCAGAAAGAGTAAGAGACAGAACCACCCAGCTAATCCAGGAGCAGAACATCTTGCCAAAGGGGCACATCAGGATCACTCCCAAGGGCAGCAGCAGGAAGGAGCTGAGCACAGCAGCCAGACCCAAGCCAGGCACAGCAGGATAAATCCAAACTTTGTAGATCTACACCTGAATTTCAGTAGGTACTAAGGTTATAACTGCACCAAAGCTCTATAACAAAGGTCAGAAGACAGTGCTACACAAAATGACAACAATGAGCAAAATGCAATCTCAGACCCCAAGCCCACCCCTAACAAGTGCAGAGGACACTCACACAGAACAAATTGGGAGTCAACAGTTGAAATCAATGAATCAACAACTTCTTTTTTTTTCCAAAATTTTATTGATAAACAGCAATGAGAGAGTTTCAAATCAAATCTGAAGTACAGTTTCAACAAATAACACACTGCATATATTCTTCTTAGTGGTTAATTGCTGTATAAGATGCGGACTTGAGATCCTATTTACAAACACCATTAGAACAAATCATTCTATTCATTAAGAGAATGCAACTATATATCTCTCCTAACCACTTTGAATA